GACAACAATGGGTAAGGAAGCCAAGGCGAAGCCGGGCTTCCGCGCTAGTTAAATATAAATGTGTCCCCCGGTCTCTCAATCCGCAACTTGAGAATTGGCATAATTCCGCCGCGCTGCTGCCGCGTGTTGGGCAATTTTCGTCTTGAGACGTCTACCAAAACGAATCGCCGCATAGGGAAACCCACAAGACACCGCGTCGTCTTATGCCAACACTGGGGAACCAGATGGCCGAGAAACCATCTAGTCCAACCCCACCACACGTGCTGAAGTTTCAGCAAGTCAGGGCCCGCATACCGGTAGTCAAGCAATCAACACACAAGGGGTCAATTAGCATTGATTTCTGTTACTTGTCATACGTGTGCAGTTATGACTCTTTCCTATAAATACCGAAACTTCCTATGCATGTTTTACCCGTTTCTGCTACTATTTTTGATCATGTCTCTGATGAAGAATCCGCGACGGATGTCGAAACGTTAGGCGGATAAAAGTGTTGTTCCAGCGACCGAAGCTTTTTATCAATTTGTTCCTGGGACTTGTATGTTCGCTAGCATCGGAAAATTCCTTATCTCAAAGGACCCCTTAATAGCTTTATATAGTATACCCCCCTTTAGTATGTGGGCCGTATCCCGCCCATGTAAAATAGCAACCATCGATGTTTTCGCAATAAAGGAAGACAGAGAAATGTGAAGGAATTTAGTAACTGGTATTTATGAAGTTTTTTATTGTCTTGCCTTGACCAAACTAGTGTGTTGCCACAAGTATATAATTGACGGACCAACGTGGAGACAAGGGTTTACGTGCATGCATTGATGTTCTGTCGCATGTTGTAAGAGGAAACGCTCGCGCACTTTTGCCTATAGCAAAGTGCTGAAACTGATGATAGCTCATTAACAGCCGTATTCATCTGATCCATTAGCACAGTTCTCCACTCCGTCACAGAGATAGTCAATGGGATAGCAGCCCTGGTCATAGTCGGAGCAGGAGAAGTAACCATGATCACAGGTACTGCCTTCCCGCTGATCTGCGAACAAATAAGCAAGATTAACCGAGTAGCTTTGGGAAAAGGAAAATTAATTGGTCCTTATCGGCTAAATTTTGCTTTTTAAACATTCAAAAGTTGTCTGTAAATATCTGCCATTCATTTTCACGGCCAATATTCACCGTTATAACAAAATATTTGCTGGTTCATTAATTGTCATCTAATAATAAAGTAGCAAACAAATTCCTCCGGAGGATTCAGAAGAGCAGTTGGTGAGCATACGTAAGCTTTCGAAAAATTCTCATCAGGTCATTACATGTATATGGGAACGGGGTCAAAGGCTAACATGCAGTCACTAGCTCGCGTTGAAGTGAACCTCCTCAAAGGCCCACCGATGTTGGTCTCGACGTCTGGGAACAGCCAATCATAGTTGCCGCAACGTTGCTTTCTGGCTCGGCGACGAATAGAAAGTCTACACGCGTGAACGCTCTCTCTCTCTCTCTCTCTCTGGGCCGCGGGAATTTCTGCAACGAAGCCTCACTTCGGATCACGCTGCCCCAGCGGAAGGTCGTGCTCTGCGTAGTCAATCTTCTTCCCTCTTCTTTCCTCTGTGTACACAATATACTGTTCCTACTACTCTGACCTCTACTGACTTCTCTTCTACCGAGTAACCATGGTCTGAAGATCGCAGTTGCTAGGGTTCAACTTACTTAACCCCTGCGTATGTGGCAATAAACATGCGGTCAATGCAAATGGGTTATGAGAATAGCGGAGGAGTGTTGAGGTTCGATAAATGACAGCCGATTAGACGGAGATGAGGGCTAGTTGAAACCGGTCCAGAGGGACGAGGGGGTGAGAGAGTGGGAAACGTGCGTGCAGTTAAGTGACCGTTGGCCATACCAAGCGCGGAGCTTCTAGAAGACTCCTTTGTGCACACAGGGCCGGCTTTCTCAACCTGATAGCAGTTACTTCTGCTGTTGCTAGCAGACGCTAGCCCAGGGATTTGGTGATAGAAGCGCAATCTAGTCCACTGCTTAGCGCAAAGGTCTCGGCAGACAGCATTGAGAACGAGCTTAAGACGATCTAGGACCTGCCAATGCAAGCAAACATACGAGTCCCAGCAAGTAATTGAGAAGAAGACAACTCCATCGCTGAGACAATATTTTTGTTCGCCTGACGTTTCGACATCCGTCGCGGATTCATCATCCGTGACATTAGCATAAAACCGTAGCAAAAACGCGTAATAGATGCACAGGAGTTTGCAGCATTTATAGGATACAGTCATTACTGCAAACATAC